AACCTTGGCTTCAGCAGAGATGAAAGGTTTGGCATTTCAAGGACTTCATTGTGTTTATCACTTTAAATATGCAAATAAAATACAGACATCAAATATATTAATATTTATCATACTAATAATGTTTTCTGAAACAACATATATAAATACTACAAGACTTATAAAAACAAAATCCTTTTATAGGTGGGCTTACTATAATTTCAAATGGGGAAGTCCCTGCAAGACCTAAAAACACTCAAAATTCCTCATTGGCTTAGGGAGGCATCTTTGACCACAGTAAGAACCCAGATGTTTCACAGGGAGGTTTAATTATTTTGACAGAGGAACAAAGTGAAATTGCCAAACTCGGTCAGCAGCACAAGAAAACAAAGATGTTGAAAAAGTAGGTAATTTCATTTGTAATTTATGATAATTACAAATTTGTAATGTTAAGAAAATACTCCTTTACATATCTTGATCTAAATAGTCCCCAAATGTACTTGCTTTGGCATTTCCTCCTCACTTTTTCTTCTAATTTTCATTGTTACTGTAATTTTTTTCCTAATGGTATTTAAAGAAGTTTGCCCACTTGAATCCCGTGTTCTTTGTCATATGCAACAACCAAAAAAAATTTGGGTATTTTGTCATAGTTGTAAGAGTCTATGAGCAGAAAAAAGTACAAAACCCTGTCTGAATCACCCATTATTTAATAAAAGAATACATCTGGGAAATTTAAAGGCAAAATGCTCTTATTTCTAAGAAACATTATTATGAGAAGAAATTCAGAGAATGTAGTTAAATTCTTCCAGTTACTTCTTTAGTTGCTTTCTTCCCCAATCACAATTCGACCTGGATATATATGACTTTTTAAAAAAATTAAATTTTGAATTATGGCCTTGCATTTGAACTGCATACAGACCAAGAGGACAAAATGCCCCCCAAGATCTGTGCAGCCAATCTCCGTTAGCACATTTCACAAACTGATGCTCTGTACATGTAAAGTTGCCAGAGATTTATGCTGTGCTGATCTGCAAGAATTCTGCCCTTAGTATAAAAATGACAGCAAATGAAAATGAAAAGACTTTGAAAAACATGCCCACACAAACACCACCCTCTGAGCTTCTGATAAGGCATTTATGGCCAAGGGTTTTCTAATCCCAAATGTTTGATTTCTTTGCCAAATCACATACTTGCCGAAGTCTTATATAAAGGCACAAATCCTGCTCTTCTCAAAGGCAACAGCACAGGATAGGGAGCAGAGTGTGTAACACTGTACTGATGAAATAAAAAAAGGAATAGAAATCATATGCTAATAAGAGGAGGGAGGTTGCCAGGCAACCAGGGAGGGAGAGAAAGCAGTTTTTGATTTGAACTCTGTGCTGTCAAAGGGTTAGCATAGCCAGAACAAACAGGACATATTCAATCCAGCTTGTCTGCAGCCACCAGGAATTTCAGCTTTTCTCAATATTTTAAATAGAAGTGTGTTCCCAACTCAGTGCCAGTTACATTTGTGTTCCCTGGGTCATTTTACTGACACTGGAAAAATGGTATAGGATAGGATGGAAAGTGGAATTTTTAAAAGTGTTAATTTTAAAAGCAGCAGCTTGTGTCTTTGGGTAGCACAAACTGCACCATGCATGCACACTGGCTGGCAGAATGAAGAGAGCTAAGCAATCTTGTGTCCAAGTAAACCACAGTCCATCAGATATAGCAGCACCTCTCTGGGTTGCACTGAGAATTGTGCAAATTCTGCCCTGCTGCTAAAACTGCACCCCTTCAAATGCATCACAAATGACTGCCCTGCATCACTGCACTTGTCATAGCTGATGGGCAAAATCCTGCCTTATGGATCTCAGCTTCCTAGATAGGCATGTAGTTTTACTTTCTTAGATATAACACTAAGCAGAGGAAAGAATAAAATTCAAGCTTGGTCTACAACATAAAATCATCACAAAATCCATTTCTGTAAAAGGAAAATGAATTTCAGTTCCTTCTCGTTTTCAGAGTTGTTAACTGCAGTGACTACTCACAAGTCCCAGCCAGGAGAAGAGGTGGGAATAGCAATTCTTATTTGAAAGACCTTCTTAGAAAAAAAGAGTAGAATGTTTAGAATGTGGAAAAAGTTGGAAGCTGAACTCATAAGTAACATTGAAACTCAAAGGTTGAAGGAAAATGAAAACCACAAGTCTTTTTTCCAACATAATCATTTTGGAGGACTTGACTGAATTTCAGTGCTACAACCTTGCAAACTATCAGCAGTAGAGGCAAAACCATACATAACTCCTTGAGCATCAACAGTATTTGCACATAAAACATGAAAAGATAAAATGTTTCATACAGAAGACTTTCCTTCCTACTCGCCAGATCAAATTTTAACCTTATCAGTAAATCATGTTCATTCCTCTAAGAGAGACATGGTAATTGTGGTCCATAATCTTCCACGAGGTCTTAGCAATCACGCTATAATTGCTGTTCCACTCGGCTAAGGGCTTGCTATAATAAAACCTCTAAAACAATGAAAAGGCTTGAGAAATTCATTAAACAAAAACAGCTAAACAGGAAGCTTTGTTTCCGCACTGATTGTTTGTCAAATGACCCTAGGAAGACATAGCCATCAATCTGGAACAGCCATCTGATCATCACAACAAGCTATAAAGCAATAGCATAAAAACAGGCTACATATTAAAGCTTCATTATGGAACGTAAAACAACTAAGAGGTATCTACAACAGAGTAACACTGTAATAATTGGGGCTTTTAAACATAAAAGTTTAGCCTAGATCAAATGAAGCTGCTTCAGCTATTTAGTCACATAACTTTTGCCTGACAGTTTTGTGAGCCATGCTAATAGAATTACCTGCTATCTTGCTGAAGGTTTCCTGTGTTTTTACAGTACTCTTTGTTTTTCAATCTCTGCCCTGCATCCCCCTTTGAGCACACCAGGCTTAGCTCTCTGACATACCTCTGTACCTGCAGTCTTTCTGTTCTCATCTATTTGATGAGAATTTGAAGGATTAACATTGCCAAATTAAGTACTCCGAAATTAATGAATGGTAAAATTGTGAAGTGTTGAGTAGAATCTTGCATGACATTACTGAGTATTGGTCTCTGTGAGCTGTGTTTTCCTGACTGCATTCCAGTGTTTCTCTGCAGTCTCTCTAGTCATCTCATTCGGTGATATTTGGGTGGTGAACACTATATAACTCTTTGCCATCCAGACTACAGCTAGTGAGAGTAGGTCTCCCAGCCTTCGTTGGTAAGGGCTGCTTCTCAGCAGAGCAGAGATGCTTTGCCACACAAACCTGAAACGACAGTAAATTAAAACCCTTCCCCCCAACATAACTTAGTGTGAAACAGCGTTATCATTCTTACAGGAGGTAGAGAGTATGTTGGCACCTCACAGATCTCACCTTCCTTCTGAATCATCTGTTGCATATGTTTAAAAGGGAGTTGGGTGTTGATGGGTAATTCCCTGCTGGACCAGCAGCTGGGTACCTAGAATGCTGTCACAGCTGTTTCCACCCCAGCACTGATATCAGAAGTGAGAATAAAGTGAAAGGTGTGAAGGGTTAGAGCCATGTTCTGAAACTGCAATCCGGGAATTGCCTCAGAATTATCAGGGTAAATTTGTGTCACTTTCACTTATAATACAATGAATGCTGTCACTATAACTGCATCAAGCTTCCTTTTCATTTAGCTTCAGACAGTATAAATGGCTCTTAAGTCATATTTTTATTGTAGAAATTATAAAACTCATCCAAGAATCTTTGTTTGTGTTACTTTAGAAGTCTAACATTTGCTGCGCTCTTATTCCTGTGGTGATGTAATCCATAGGTATAAATAAATTGCTATTGCCTATTTTGAACAAAAGCTTTACAAACAGCATTAACTTCAGGGTGCAGAGGAACGTTTCTTAAGGACCAGCCTGTGCCCACCAGGTCCTTAGTGAGGACACAGGAGGCTCCAGAAGTTCCTCAGTGCCTAATGGGCATGCATTGGTTGACTGAGTTCCTTCAGCAGCAAGCTCTCCAAAGCCACTGGTGAATGTGGAACGAGGTTATAGGCTATTTGAACAGCTCACTAAGGGTACAGACAACACACATGAACTCAAAGAACTTACCTGGTTCCAGAATCAGTTAGGGAAAAGAACTTCTCATGCTTTCTGCTGCATGTAAAGGCCACTAGGGAAGTGCTCCTGAGCTTCAAGGAAGCCTTACTGTACAACCTGCAGTTTCTATACTGTTTGAAGTAGCAGGTTTGATAGCACACTTGGCAGGTGCTACACATCATGGGCTATGACAGCAAAGTAAGCAAGTTTCACTTGTCAAGGTTATTATTCTCCCAGTTCTCCCCAATTGAACATTGCAATAATTACATACGGCTTTACACAATGATAGTAAGGAATCAGATAAAAACAAAAGGGAAGGTGAAAAAACAAAGACTTTCTTTCTCAAAGTATCACTGGGAAGTTTACATGAAGTCTGTAAACATTGCCTGGATCTTGCATGTACGTTTCACATAGTTTCACGTTACAAGTTAGAAAGGGAATGCTTTCCTTATAATGTAGATAAAGATTTAGAGAGGTAATAAATAAAAATCCAAGGCAAGTCCTTGTACCATAAATACAAGGTAGGTACTTTCACATGCAGCTATTTTTGAACAGGTTCTCTTTCCTTTTGCTTAGAGTATCTGCATCCAAGGAATATTAACAGCACATTTTGACAGTTGACTGTATTCAAAAAAAGGCAGTGTTTGGAGTTTGTGGGGGTTGGCAGTAGTTGCAGGGAGGGGGAGTTGGTGTTTTGTTTTGGTATTTTAGGGGCTATTTTTGTGGTAGTTGTAGTGTTTAAAAAAAAAAAAAATGGAGACCACCATCTATTCAAATCACAAAACACCTAGTCTTCCACAATATGAAAAGTAGACTTTTAGAACACGACTATCTATATAATTCCTTTATCTTCTTTAGTTAGGCTGAAGCTTCTGGCGAAGCTGAACAAGGGGACAAGATTCCTTGGGGATAGCTTCCTGGAATTTTTCTTTTGTAAAATAACTTGGGAGAACTAGCTGTGATTTTAGGTACTTCTAGCACAGATTCTCAGTTCCTCTTTAACCAGTGACATATCTTTTTATCCAGCCTTAATTATTTATATAAATTATCAAGTAGCACCTGGACTTCAAAGATCATATTTAATGTTTTAATTATATGAACCTAAATTTGAAACACTAACCATCAAGGTAAGTTTCATTAAATCATTTGTTCCGTTTTTATACTTTAGCAAAGAAATTGATGAAAACATTCAAGTTGTGCTGCCAGTGCCCATGTTGATAGATTGCTCCCCTCAACAAATAAATTACCAAGAATATTTATCTACAATCATAGGCTTAGCTAACACACACTGTCCCTACTTCAAAGACAAAAATAAAATACATTTTATTGAAAATACTTCCCCCTCCCAAAAAAACAAAAAAAGTCCTAGGCAGGAGAAAAAGAAAAAAAACACCACCACAGAGGGCTGCAATTAGATTATCAGCAATTACTGATATATTCATCTGAGAGACAAATCATACAATGACTAAATTTATTCGAACAGATGGGGAAAGGACAATACATTTCGTAAGAAGTAAACTGCCTTGATTTCCTTGCTAGTTTAAATGACTGCTAAAAACAAAACCACAGTAAGATACTGACCAAAGTTTCTATTTGCAACCTCAGAGTAAAGCAAACACTAGCCTTTTAAAAATCCATCAGTCTTCTAAATCATGTATTACTGCATACTATTACCAACACACAGTCCTATTATAATATTGTTCTTTGAATCTGAGTCATATATCTAGAAATGCAGAACAATGTAACCCTAAAATATTTTGCATAAAAATTTGAGATAAATACTCAAAAATCTGTAAAACTAAAAATCAATCCTTTGTCATAAAAAAATTATCTTCAACCCTTGAAAAAATCCCAGATTGGCTGCTCTGAAAACACTGAGCTGGTAAAAGACAGTACTGATTTCATACCACAGTGCCTCCCTAACTACCAGGAAGACTTCTATGATAGTTTATTCTTCCTGCTCTATTCACATGAGTCATGGTTTGAGCAACCACTCAGTGAGGAAACAGACTAGAAACAAAAACTCAATATGAGAACTGATGATAAAATTCAGTCACAACTGGCCTAGAGCTGTGCTCAGGCTGCTGCTGTGTACATTCATGTATTATGACTGGGCCCTCAATGACCTGCAATAGCCCACCCTAAACTTAGTATCTTACACTTCAAGGTGTACCACAACAAAAAGTTGTGTCAGGCAAGAACAAGACTATCAACTACAAAACTATCAACTATACGCGAGGTCCTATGAAGGGTGGGAAAAAGGTACCTTGAAGCCCAATCATACAACTTGGCTAACACTGGCAGGAGTTCACCACGTATCCCACTGCACTAGCAGTGGTCAGTCCACCTCACACCAGGGCAGGCCCTGAACCTACTTCCAAGATCCCAGTGAGACCTGAAGGAAGGAATGTGATTCAGAAACATTAAGTGCCACAGGTGCAGCAAGCCACTTGCACCTGCCATCCTGCTCAGCCTTCCATGCAACTGTTTTAGTCCAAGGAGACTGAGTGCAGCCCGTGAGCTCAGCTTGGCCCATGGTGAAAGAGAGAAGAGCTGCAGTCCCGCACACCTCCGCCGGCCCACGGGCAGCTGCAGGACAGAGAAAACCAGCCTGGCAGCCTGGTGCCAAAGGCTCATTAGGGCACGGCTCCCGAGCAGCCCTGCCCCGCAGGAACCCTGCCAGAACCGGAGACCGATCCCACCGGGGAGACGGGGCTCAGCCAGACCCTGTCCTCCACTTCTCTGGAGTGACCCGAGCGGCGAGCAGAGGGGAGGCGCCGGGCGCCACCCCAGCACACCCCTCGGCCAGGGGACGGCCGCGCTGCCCGGGGCCGGGAAGGCACACGGGGACAGCCGGAGCGCTGCGCCCGGCGCTGCCTCGGCGGCCGTCCCGCAAGCCTCGGGGCCCCCAGCGCCGCCAAACTTTGCGGGGCGCTCCCGGCCCGGGCGCCTCCGCCGGGCAGAGCCCCCTCCCCGCTAGCGACAGCCGCACGTCCCGGCAGGGCGAGTGGGTACCTCAATGTCCACCGGGTCCCGGCTCAGCACACGAGCCATGGTGTCCGCACCGCCACCGCCTTCCCCCTGCTCCCCGCAGTCCCGGAGTGGAAGGGAGCGGAGCTCGGGAGGAGGCGGAGCCGGCAGCCCGGGCAGCAACGCCCAGGTGGGCGGGCGCGCCCCGCGCCGGGCCGGGGCCGCCCCGCGGGGCAGAACCGCCCCGGGGCAGGGCACGGTACAGGTACCCCGCGGGACCGGCACCGCCCGCGGCGGGGACAGCGGGCAGCGAGGGGAGGGAAGCCCTGCACGGGAAGCAGAGCGCACACTGCCCCGCCGGGGAAGGGCCGGGGGCCGCGCCACTCGCCAGAATCCATGTGCGTCTCCCCATCACGGACCACGTGCACACCCGGCCTCCCGCACCTCCTGGAAGGGAAACTGCGCGGAGAGGGCCAAACATCATCCTAGGTGTTTATCATGACGATCCCATAGGAGCAGCCTGCACGCCACGAGTGCAGCCAGCCCTGCTGCACTTTGGCCTCAGCCCCACTCCTGCCCAAAGCAGGGTGGACCCTTCCCAGCGTTACACGTACACCCTCTCCCAGCGTAACTGGCCTAGGCTGTCTCTGCACCTTCACTCTTGTCCCCCCAGGGACAGCGAGCCTTCCCACCTGCTCAGGAGACGCCCCTCGCAGCAGCCATCCTGCTGCGGGAAGTGCCACTAAGGCCACTCACCCGCCTATGTGAGCTCTTCAGTGTCGTTCCTCCCAAACATTGTGATTGTTTGACACCAGAAACACAGTATTTATGGTATCACTGAAATAAATATTCCCACTGCAAAAGACCTACAAAGAAGTTCTACTTCCCTGCTACCTTACAAACAAACAAAACCAGCAAAAGCAAGTATTCTCCACAGGGAGGGGGAAACAAAACAACCCAAGAGAAACCATGACGACAACAACACCACCAAAAAGCACCAAACAAGCCAAAGACTAACATCAATTTCTAGACAGCACTTTCAAGTAGTCACACCTATGATTCTCCAAAATATGATAGGTTTTATTTCACAAGAACAGGGAAGTTTAAGACTAATCTTTAATTTTCCAATATGTGTGCCAGACAATTTCTTGGGTTCCTTCTCCCTTTCTCAAAACATACCCCAGATCTGCTCTTCAACATGCCCTTCATAGCACTCATTTTATCCAGTTAGCTTCCATTCTCCCTTCTTTATTAGAGCATTAAAAAAAAAAAAATTAAAAAGAGAATTAGTAAAAGGGCTTCCCACTCCTATTTGCTTTACAAAAAGCTTGGAAAAGTGTATGTAGCTTCTGGACACTCATGACCCTTTGGGTGCAGGAGGGAATTGCCTTGCCTTTTCTCTTCCGTACACATCTCCAGGGAGAATGCCTCTCACAGAATAACATGGAAAAATAATTACAAGGTAAAGAAAAATTTTTTTTTCCATTTCTGTAAATGAGCACTTTTGAGGCCCAGTGGAGATTTTTTTTTCCTTTGGTAAGATGTGGAGAAAAAAGGCTGTGATCTTTTATGTCTCAAGTGGATCTGTATTTTCTCAAGTCTTTGCTTCAGCACTATTGCATAACAATTCTTGCTGATTACAATCACCCATGCAAAACAGTTAAACTGTTGGCAGGAAAATCAGAAGCAGGATCTCCTGCATGGCTAGTACTTATCTCTAACAAATCCGAGAGACTTTGGTTCATTTCACTAATATTGACATTGCAGAGCACCTCAGTGATCTCTAGTGCTAGCTGGGGAGTTTCCTAGTTGTGTTTGTTCCTGACCTACAGCAGTACATTGACTGTGCAAGTGCATTAAGACTAAGTAATTTTCACAAAGAATATTTCCATGCATATGTAATAATAAACTGCTTCACGTCCAAGCACTTACAGTTTCCCTCCATTTGTTCTAAAGGAGCATTTACATTAGAAGAGACTAGCAGCAGGCACTGAGCTCTCCATTACACACATCTCTCTTGTTCTGCAATTTGTAAATCGTTGGTTACCCTCATGTAATCTAGCAAGTCAAATGAACCTGACACCTGTAGGATTTTTGACCTGTGAAACTAGAAAACAGTAACACCATTTAGATCTCATAGAAGCAGTTTTCCTTACAAATGAAGCAAGACCTATTCTGCCAAGAAGTACAGGTCAGAGAAAGGGATCCAGAGACCTAACCATACCCTGTTATAACTCACGGCTCCTCTTACTTCTGTTCCTACACATTTCTCTTGGGAATCAACTTATTGCCTTTAAACCACAGCAGTCAGCCAGGCTATGTAAGCCTGCTGCTGTTTGCCTGCTCTCCCTAGCGGTTCAGGAATGCTGGTCTTCCACGGATCACCCATCTGAACTTTGGATTCTCAGCTGTGGCAAATAGCACTTTTATCAGCACTGAGCATGTTTACAGCTGAACTTTGTTTCAGAAAATAGACAGGAAGAGGGACATATGCACAACATTCATCAGAATACAAGTACCTCCTCTTTTATAAAGTAAAAGTTGTAAAAAAATTTAATAACAGAAGTTTTACACAGCCCAGATATGGTTTGGGCTTTTTTCACAAAGAAGTGCTAAGCCTCTAATTTTAAAGTTTTTCTCCCCTCAGCAGCATTTTGAAAGCAGCAGAAACAGTGTGATGCTAAAGACCTAACTTTCACTTCTGACATGAAATGCTGTTAAGGCTTGGTTGAGTTATAGACTTTTGAAAGTTACCATTAACCTTTTGTTCCTTGTGCTCTTCATGTAAAGTTTGCTCACATGACAAAGAAATAATTGCATGTGAACTTTCTCAGAAAAGCTTCAGGTGTTCACTGCTACCAGAGCAGCAGCAGCCTTGTGCTGGAAATGACTGCCTCAGTGGGAGGGTAAAGGAGGACAGGGTAGCAGGCAGTGAGAAAAGCCATGTCCTTCAATTTGAAATGGTTCCAGGAGCACAATCTGTGATCTAAAACAAAAGATTCCTCCTCCAGCCATTGCAGTAGTTAATTTGTGAGCTTAAAGGGTAAACTGTAAACTCAAAGTTCAACATCTGAATTCTGGCAGTGATGTATTAGGGAGCCTAGAGGTCTCAGTGTACTGACATGTAGCAGAAGCAGCTCCCCACTTTTTCATCAAAACTGCCCCTGATTCACATCAGTTCAAATACCAGAAAGACAGACATTCGAAACCCTAATTTGTTATGTAGTTGTACCTTGAACCTCTTTAATCCCACACTCTTTTTATTCCAGGATCAGGTTCCTCACTCACTGCATTTGATGAAGACTGATGGTTGCAGTCACACATCATCTCCCAACATCTGAATCAGCAATCCAGATTACTCACTACACTTAAACAAGTTCATCTGTCAAATTCACAGAATTTGGAAAAGCCTGAATTGAACCCCAGTTGCTCTTTTACCTTCTTCGAGCACCTCACTATGACTATGAAGAGACATGCATTTCAGTTATTTGCTGCTCTCTCTGTTTGTGCCCTCTCTGTTTGGCTTAGCCACGTTCAACAGTGTAAAGGTGATATATTCAGTATGCAGAGGGTCCAAGAGAAATGGGATTAGCAAGAAAATGCCGTGAAGATAACAAGCAGCTTCTGAAGGCTCCCAATTTCTCAGGTTTATTTTTATTTTTTCCCTTGTACTAGGAGTCATAGTAGCAGTGGTGGTGACTTTCCCAGGACAAGGCAAATCATTATTAAAATTAAAAGAAGTAGTGCTGCTGATTCCAGTGTGGGTTCATCAACTCTGAGGACACCTGTGTTGCATGTCTTCACTGTACTGGTGTTAAGGAGGAAATAAGTATATACATGTGAAAAAGTTGAAGTATGAGAGCAAGAGGCTTTACTGTACTGTTTCTGAAAGGTCTATAAGTGAAGGGCCAGAGTAACTATGCCAATCCTTTGTCCTCACTCATCTTAGTCCAATACAGGAGGACTGGAATTCAAGATTTAATTTGGGGAAGCTTGCTCTGACTACCTCTCCCAAAGTAGCAGCATTGATGTTGCAGTATATAATTACAACTTTATGCATTTCTTCAGCAATTTAGGGAAAATGCTTAACTTAAAAGATTCACAGTAGAGAAGATGTGCACTGCTTTCTAATCTGCTTGTTTGCAATTGGATTTACTCTTCAATGCTCAGTGCTCTTCAGAGAGATTAGCTACACAGGATAACCCAGGGTATGCCACAGTGCAGGAGTACCAATGCTCTTTAGGTGTGAGAGACAGTTATTAATTCTGTTAGAAGCTCTGACCATTTTCAGATGTAGCCTGTGGGCATGGAATTGTAAAGAACAAATAGATGAATAAGCAACAAAAATGGCCACCATGTGAGCTTTGATAAGTGCCCAAATGCATTTAAAACTAAAAATGAGCTGTTCTTTAGTGAGTCCACTAATTTATTCCAGCCATCTGTGTCAGTGTAAACAAAAGCTTGTCTCCTAAAGTGCTTAATAATTTTTAAGATCTAGCAAGGACCACAAGTTTCAACATGATCATCTTGGGGGAAAAATTTAAGCAAAACGAACCCACATATTTTCACACCACAAACATCTTTTGATAACCACTATCATGTAATTCAAAGAAATATTAGACAGTAAAACTTGTTCCTGGCATAGCATAATGTTTTCCTATTTAAATTCCACCAAATGTTTCATTAGGATATTTTAGGGGATGGAAAAATCTGGCTATTTCCCTCCCCTCCAGTCTCAAGTGATGACATCCGTAGACAAATCTTGTATTTATTACTAAGCTTGAGAACTGCTAAATTGATGCCCTAGGTTTCCACTGCTCTGAGAATCTTTTCTCTGTATGTGCCTCAATTTATTTTCAGGCTCTTAATGTGCTTCTCATGTTGCTGGACCTTAGCTAAGTGAATAGTTAAAAAGTCTAAGTGTTTATAAGCTAAGAAGTGTACATGTTTAGCATGAGGGAAACAAGGCTGAAAGTACTTTGTAGGAAGAGTATGTTGGACTCAATTTTAGAGATACTGAGCAGCCACTCAGTTACATCAGACCAATTATCCTTTCTGGACAAAACCCAAAATCCATTATAGGACTGGAAAACTTGAAATCCCTTAGTTGCCTTTGAGACATCTCATAGTTGTGGTGGAAGGCATGTCCTGGGTGTTAGAAGAAAAGGGTGCTGCTTTCCAGACATATACACCTCTGGGGTGAGAAGAGTGAAAAATAAGTTCTATTTTGAAGGGTCAGACCAAGGCCCAGTACACTACGTTATTTGCATCTTCTACATTCCCCTTGGGAGCAAGTTTCTGACAAGAGTGAAGTCTGCCCTTTGAATGAGACCTGGTTTGGAGCCATTTCGCTGTGCAGCAGGGAAGTAGGGCAAAATGATACTGAGCTCACCTGAGGGTCCTGCAGGTGTCAACTGGCTGGTGTCTGTGCAAACTGACCTACCAGTCCTCCCTCCCCTGGGCAGAGGAGGCTTCCAATTCTCCAAGAAATCAGACTGCTAAGTTATTAGGGAATGAGTTTACTACATACCTAACTCATGGCAACACCAAGTATTTCTCCATTCAGGTAAATGTTAGAGATGGGGAATCACTCCTTAGCTTATGACCATGCAAAATGAACTACTTCTGTGCTTGCAGTTTCAAAGGGAAGCATGCAGTGAGATCAGAGGAAGATCAACCTCCAAAATAGACAGATACCACCAATATACTCACTGAACTATTGGCATAAATTTACCCCTCCAACCACAGCATCAATAGGAAATTTATTTCTTTTCAGGGATTGTGTGGTTTCGTTGCTTTCCAGAGATACTGACAAGGTAAAAAACAGCCTCTTGAATTATTTACAAAATACTACTAGTTTTTATCTATTGATCTCTATAGTTGCAGTATAACTCATTTCAACTTTGATAGCTTTTCAAATGCATCAGGAAACAAACATTTGACAAACAAAATGGCTACTGCTTGCTTTTGAAAATTACTATTTTTAAAAGAAAAACTGCCACCAGGTTAACATCCTTGAAACAAACTGTGTTTGGATTGTTCTAAATTTAATAGCTCGAACAGGAACAAACAGGTTTGTGTTTTTCCAAGAGAAATATAGTAACTGATGTGCTTATAAGTAATTGCAATTAGTCCTTTGTTTGTACAATACATCCCTTCCTCTCACAGCTGAAATCCCAGCCCTACTTGGTAATGCCCAGTGACCAACAGCAGCAGTTCTAGGCTAGGTTAGTACCTTTTTAATACCTCAAACTATGCCCCATGTCCAACAGAAAAAAAAATAATCTGAGTCATTGCAGAATCTATTATTAAAGTACTAATGAGAACACTACAAAAGAAAAACCATAGCAACTGATAGGAACCATGTGCTAGTCTCATCATAAGTCTGCTTGGTAGGCAGGTTTGTCAGAGAAATCTTAGTATTAACAGAAAATGAAAAACAAAAATAGAGTTACCTTGTCTGATTTTGTAATGTGGACCCTTTTCTTCTCCCTAGCATGCATATACTGCATGACATTCCCAAGGACTGTCTATGTACTTGCTTAGAGATGACAATATACAAGTTACTTTAATTGTTTAGCTCTGTAAAGGCACGTATTAGTTTTATATTCATAGAAATCTTCCAATTTAGTTATTATAGTACAAAAACTAACATTTTCTTTTTCCCTGATAACTTAAATATATTTTGGATTTGCCATTAGGACAGCAAAGCTTTTCTCCCTCCAGCAGTGCTCTATATAAACACCAACAATGCAACAAACTTTGACTATAACTTGGATTTTATAATAGTATCAACAACCATCAGCACTAACAAACACAGGTAATTAACTTGAATGCTTTGTTTAAGCCAAGCAATGAAATATTGCTGTTTTGTAGTGCTTTACATTGCATAAAAAATTGCTGTGAAGTAACATAATGCTTGGGCTGGAAATTAGGTAGAAGCAAATAGCGCAAAAAGAACAAAAACTTAACAAAGTATGCCATGGGACAGTTCAAGAAAATCTCTTCCCTAGCTTGCTATAGAGATGACTTTTACCCAGGACCTATACTGTGCATAGAAGGAAGCAAACTTCCACTTACAACCTCAGATGCAACTGTAGCCCCCAACTGCTGGTATGAGGTGATGGATAAAGATACCCACAGTCTCAGTTGTTGACTGGAAAACTGATGTTCAGATAATATAAATTACTTGTGGTACGTCCCTATGTCCTTGCTAAACTGCTAGGCTGATGGCAAACTAGTCATCTGTCTTGGACTGTTTTGAGCAAATTCCTGAAGCTATTTCTGAACCAGTGAAATAGGTTAACTTTACAATTGGCAACGGTTATTGCCTTCTTGGCAAGGTCAAAATGAATAGGAAAAATTAATTCCTACCCAAGGTCCCTGCAAAATGTGGGTAAGACGTTAATTCACTGCCATCCTAGCCTAAGGTAGTAATTGTCAATAGGACAAACAGTCTACATCATCATTTTCTCTCTAATTTAATCAAGGTCATATTAGATCACTACATCAAATCAAGCAGAGTCAATTTGATAAAAAAAAAAAATCTGAGCTAAACCAGATTCCTTCTGGAAATTAACCCTTTATAACATTATCCATCAATGCAGAGCATCTTATTTCCACTGAAAATGACTGCTGCTATGACACACACCACACTTAAAAAAAATCCTCTCCCACCAAATAAAACAAGATTAAATTGTCTAAACTCATGCCTAAGTTTGTGTTTTGAAGGTTTTTTCTATGTACTGCATATAAGTCTCACACAACAGAACAACTTTCACTGAAACTGAAATATATATCTGAAAAAAATAATGTACTGTATTATGCTGGATGCCATTTATCTCATGTTAGTTTAGATCCTAACAAAATTAAAAAAAATAAAAACAAATAGACAAATAAATAAATAAAACAAAAACAAACAAAAAAACCCCCAAACAAGATGCTGTGGAACTGCCCACTTCTTACACAAACGAGTAGAAGGTTTAGTGTTCTTTTGATGTTGTTTTCTTGGGTTTTTTTTGTTTGTTGTTTTCTTTTGGTTGGTTGGTTTTGTTGGGGTTTTGTTTAAGATTACATCCAGTAGAGCTCCTTCCCCAAATTTGGACCAGTTATCACTTTAACTGCAGTACATACATATCCAAGATTTTACTGTAACTGCATTATAATCTATTGCTATGGCAACTTTTGGCTATGCTACATTCCACTTTCATGCAGAGTGCCTACAGTTAGGTGGACTACAGCCACAACAGCCAGCTAGGAAAGTGTGATCTCCACCTGGCTGGGCCTCATGAAGGGAGAGAGGGTCGCAGGTATAGTCCTTTTAGCCCACACAGCAAATTTCTGCTTCAAGCATTCCAAAAACTTAAAGGACCCTTCCCACATGCTTCATAACACCTACATCAATAGCTTCTATAGCCAAAACATTTTTGTTTTAAGCTTGTCAAATACTGACAATGAGATCACATACATATGCATACTTGTAATTTCATACTTATTGCAGAGAAGACCTATATCACTGTCACTGGATATTGTGATATGCCTGAAAGGAACAGAATATCATAGGATTTAAAAGGCCTTTTTATTTTTTATTCTTTTTCTCAACCACAGAAGAAATTAACCATAATCCTATAAACAAAGGTATTGTAAATACCAAACTCAATGGAGCTATGACAATCAAGACTACGAAGCACACACACACACAGAGCCAGACCTGCAGTTGAACCACGTTGTAACAGACTGGCTGGCCCATCTGTTTGTTACGTTTGTTTGCTACTCTGGGTTTGAGTTATATGTTTTACAAGTACATACCACCCATTTAAAGCTAAGCTTCCCCACCCCCATTAAAGCCATGGTAACACAATTTTCCTTGGATCTGATTTTGCACTACTAGAGTAATGTGACACTGAGCAAGCAGTACTCACTACAGATGTAGTTGTGATCTTGTGAGGGACAAGCCTTGGTATTAGCAGGATGAACTTGAAAGGATGTAGACTGTGGCAGAGAGAGAGAGAGACATACCTGTCTTTGTTTCTTCCAGTAAGACATTTTTTCTTTTAAATCTGTTCCTCCATCTCATACTACTTGCACAGAATAGAATGACAAGAGGTAGACTAGAAACATTTATGACCAAGTGTAACCTCCAAGTGTTTTGGAATAGGAAGAATTTACTTGGGATAACAAGTATAATTATAACAAGTGCTGTAAATTCTATTTAGACCTGTGAATTTCGGTAAGATGTGTTGTAGGGTTTATTTTTTTCTTTTAAGGTTGAAATAAATCACTCAACAAAACCAAAAATGCATAGAATCCCTTTGATCAGAACATTCCCTTTTTTTGGGAGGAAAACACAGTATGCAATTTAAAATTGCTACAACTTATTTTTTAATATACAATTTAGGACTCTGTCCATGGATTGTGATTTTTAATTTCAAAATCAGTTACGTTATTTTTGTTGTCTATCATGTAGAAGATGTTACATTTTACCACCAAGATATTGTAATGAACCACTAGTTCAAGATTTGAAAATCTTTATGCCGATGAATTTGTAATTTCCTTCTGCCCATGATTGAAGGGATTTTTTTTCTCCAAAGCCTATCTAATACTGCAGAAAGTCTGTCTAGGTGTTTGATGATAATTAGCTAGAAAATTAGCCTGTTAGTAATATTATTTATCAAAATGCCATTGAGTCCTAGGAAGATTGCAAACCTCTGTTGGAAAGTGTCTCAGAGGCAGGCTACTTGGTTGCAGCAGGTTTAAACCACATGAAGTATTGATTAAAGTCTTCCTCAATTAACTACTGCCAACTTGAAAGGCAAACCAGACCATTCATGTGCCTGTTATTTTAAGGGAACATTTAGGTCCAGATTCTCAGCTATGTTAGGTCTCAGCTGTACTACCCCACAGCAGCTCACAGGCTGCCAGCTAAGCTAATGGTTGCTTTTCTACCATACCAAATACAAAGAGCAAAGAAATGTACTCAAAATACGAGTCTATTTAGGCCAAATTTTAGTATGCAACACCTTGATTACTACTTAAATAACCAGGCATCTGAAGTTGCTACAATACAGATACCACCTGTGTTATCAATATACACACCACAGTAGAGTTTGGCGGTTTTTTTCAGTCCTAACTTTTCTGAAATGCCACAAGCATATCCCCAGAGCTGCACGTGCTTCTTTGCCTTAAATAAACTTTTCCTCTTGTTTTGTTATCCCCTCCTCTCTCTCTATTCTACCAACTGTTTTTCATCCTCTTTTCTCACTTGCCCATGTTCCATGTGGAACTTTTGCTTTTAACTCTTGTCACAGCATCAGGAGTCTTTCTTTTTTTTTTTCCTTATTCCTCTGTAAAGAGTTTATTTTTGAGTATAAAGTCAGTCTAATTTTATTAATTTTCAAGAACATTATGGCTGCTTTTGCAGCAACTGTTTTCGTAAATAATGGGTCTGCAGGTCACAAAGCAGCCTTTTAAAGCAAAGTAAATCTTAAGATGTTAAAGAGAGCTATCACCTTCTTTCTGATTGATCCTGAGTCTTAGGGGATGGACTACATCTGCTATAAGTTAGAATTATCATCCCATTTGGAGAAAAGCCAGAGCACTGGAAAATAAATTTAAAAAAAAAAAAAAAAGAAAAGAAAAAGAAAAAAGTTCACAAACAAGCATCCTTCTGATAAAGATGCTTTGGATGTAATGAAATCAATCAAACAGCAATGCAAGATAAATACTTGTCCTTTCCACCCACTTTATCTCAGGTGGTTTCACAGTTTCCAGGTAAAAAAAAAAAAAAAAAAAAGAAATACACCCAGTAATTGGAAATTTTTTTTTTCCCCACTTCTTTGCATGAGCATTAAGAAGTCTTTCTTCCATATTAAGTTACTCTAGTCTATGCTACATTTCTTCTCACATTAGCTTGAGTACTACATCAGGGCATGAAAACATAGTGCAACACGTGATGAATTTCTTTTGCTCCTTAGGGAACTCCAATAATATGTTCTATACTGTTGCTAAAAGCATACGAAATTAAGCATCTGTAGGACTTGCTTCCTTGTGACTAGCGTGCCTTGGCATGTTTCTTATTATTACACGTTCAAAAAAGAGTGAACTGGTCTTTTCTTTAGTAAAAGAGGATAATGAGGAAAGCTAAAGTGATTAGGACAAGCACCCAGCAGTTCAGCAGTTGAAAGTCTGGCTGTCTCTGACAAAACCAGTCCAAATCAATTAAAATTCATAATTTGACCCAAGATTAGCAAGCAGAACCAAAAAATTAAATCCAAAAGGCAGACTCATCAAAGGGATTATCAGATACAAATAATAATCTTCATTAGTTAAAAAAAACTGTGACAAGAGGAATAGGCATAGAAAGATAATGTTTGCTACAAAAGCAGGGCAGGTAAATTGTTTTCTAGTTCCTCAAAAGCTAGAACACTGTAAAGTCTAGTGAAGTGAGAGGGGGAACTTTTTTTTCCTGTGACCTCTATGTTACACACACCATGAAAAACCCACTACTACACTCTAATCAAAGGTATCAGCAAAGCTGAAAAAAGTGAAATCCCAAACTCTTCAAATCAGTTGCAAAACATACCTCTGGACTTAAGGTCTATACGAGTGAGATTTCAGCAGAAACTAAAGACTTGATTGAAGAGACTCTCTCTTCCTGTTGGAAAAAGCCTTTCATCCAGCAAGGAGCTGTTTCTGCTCACCTTGAGCTCTATAAGCCTTCTGCTCCTGCTAGGCACTAACTGATTTCATTGAGGGCAGGTGATTTCAATTAGCAATTTTAGTTCCAATTCATGACTATATATGAAAATATCTATCAGATGCAGCAAGTGGTACTTCACATCTGCTCTAGCCTCCTCCTCTGCTGGGGCACAGTAGAAAAGGGAGCTTCAGAGGTTTATTTTATTTTTTTTATTATTATATTTTTTATAATTTGAGAGTTACACAGGAGGATTATACCCTCTGTGCTTTCCCCTTACATTCTGCCCTTTGATCAAAGGTACTTTGGTTCAGAGGCTTGCAGGCAATGCAGAGCTTGCATGCAATGTGTGTCCAATACACTCATCACCACTAAAGTGAACCTAGACAGCATTAGGATAGATATGTGTGATTGTATGAGCTAAGTGAACACTGGACAGCTGGTTTTTATGTGTTATTCCCAAACTTTGCCCTGCAGAACCCAGTGGGATAGTGTGGATCGTAGTATTCCTCTATGGTTGTACAGAGGTAGCACCTATCAACACTTCCTGTGTCTTCTTATGATCTTTGTACTCATCATTCTTTGAATTACATGACATGATGGGACCCATCAGAATCTACTTCCCCTTTTGTGTCCAGGTTTCAACTCTATAAACAACATCCGAGAGTTTCTATGTACTATCTTCATAATATTATAAATAAAACATAAGTGTGAAACATTTTTAAGAACAATAAGAACACTGTTTTATTTCATAGATTCATAGCATCAATTATTTTACCATCTGCTTCTTGTAATCTCATAGATTAGGCCATAATTGCACTTGTATAACGTGTACATTATGATACTAGAAACATTCATGTTTTTAGTTCTTCTCACTGTGTAATAAAAATATGTGATCACTCAAAATTCCATATATAAACTGCTGTACTTAAGGAGGAGTTTCATGTGGTGTTCCAAATGCAATTGTCTTCAAATCCATGGGATTTCAGAACTACTCTGCCTTGCCTTTCATCTGCCTGTCCTCCAAGGGATCGCCATGTGGTGGGCAATTCAGAAGGTATCAATAAGTACTTACGAGTGCCTTTGTGCCAGCACTTTTCCTATATTTTATTTTTTCATTTAAAGAATATTACAGATGCACTATCAAGGAACAACACTGTGAATTAAGGCTTTCTAGTAAATGCTATAAAATGAATTTCTTGAGCAGAATAATGTGTTATCTTTGGGTATTTTCCTGTGAAATTAGAGACTAAAATTTTGATTAGACATGGATAGTATCTTTTCCAATATATTTGTATCGGTGTACTGATTTGGGAACCATTTAGACCCAAAGGTCAGGGCTGTTCATAAGTCCCCTTGATTTCAAAGTTGAATGTCTGCCCAGGATTAAACACAAAGAGGAATGCTTTCCTAAATCAATTTATTTAAGTCTGTATTTAAGTTGAACAAGGGCCTAAAGTCAGCAACAAATCAGGAAAGAGGATAAGTTTGGGTGAAATATGTTTATGGATACCAAAATATACAATGAGGCAAGGAACACAATTCTTACTTAGATTTGAACCAGGATTGCTAAATGTATAAGCTAACAAGATCTTTAATTTTCATTTCTTTCGAAGCTCTTAGCTTAAATTGTGAGATGGGTTACATTTACCTGTACACATTGGGGTGGCCCTTCCTTGTCTTCTGCTCTGTAATCTGGATTTACTTCTCAGAGAAGTCACAGTATTAGCAGGAGGGACAGTGCCTGCTTGCATTTATCTTGCTAGGATGGTACAGAAGATATACCTAAACTCCAGAACTGGAAAGGGCTCTGGACCCACAAGCTCAGGGTTAAAATCCTTTGTTTTCTTCGGTGTCTTCAAAATGAAGTTTATTTTGAGTTTCTGTATAAAGCAAGTAGAAAGTCATCCTAACAAACAGAGGAGATTATGAATCTGGCAGAGCACAATGTAGATCAAAATGGTTTTAATCATTACTCCCTGTTTTAATTACTACTTGACACATTATCTCTATTGTCCTTCTACAAGTCTGTCTTTTGAATGAAATATTAAAGGCGAGTTACAGCTGAAAATATATGCAGTCTAGAAAGAAAATGGCTTTGAACTATTTGAAATGATTGATTGTCCACATTTCTTTATGAATATTTATTTGCTGTAGTGAAAGCGATTCAATAAAGAGAAAACATGAGGACCAGTTAACTGAACATTTGCATACTCCAACGGTTAAAAAAGGGAAAATAAAAATAATAAGGTGCATTAGAATAGTGTTAATGTTTTAGTTCTCCTGTTTCCTGGAGTTAATTCATTAATATGCGAGCTTCACATCCTGAAGAGGAGATATATAAATAGCCTACAAATAAGTGTCCCTAACCTTTATATATTCCCATTCAGAAGGAAATAAATATGTTTGCAGGGGATTTTCAAGGCCAGGGTGGAGTTTTGTTTCCACATTACTTCAGGTAGCTGGCTATGAAAGCTTGCTTTTTGCAACAATCCTATGTAATCTAAGTCCTCTTCTTGTCAAGACCAGAGATCACTCATGCCCTTATACTCCTCAGAGGAGCAGCAGGTGTACCTGGTTCTCAAAAGGAGTCATGAGCACACTGATTATTTTGGCTTATAAAACACTTTAGTGTTTCAACATGGCTACATGCACCAAAACCAAGACCACACACACATCTGTGATGCTGCTTTCCTTCCACCCTCAGTGGAGGAACAGAGTTTTTCATGGTATGCGCCCTCATTTCCCCCGGCTTGAATTAATTTCATTGATCGAAAAACACTATGCGTTAGACTTGGAATGAACTTTGTTTCTCAGAGCTTCTTAGTGATATTCTGATACGCAGTCACAGATGGGGCCTTGACAGATTTTGTATGGATTTTCATGATTCCTTTTTTCTTCCTCTTTTTTTTTTTTTTTTTTTTTTTTTTTTTTTTTTTTTTTTTTTTTTTTTTTTTTTTTTTTTTTTTTTTTTTTTTTTTTTTTTTTGTAAAGCAAGATTGTTGCTGCTTGAGAATTCAAATGCAAATGGAGATGTTTACTGGCAGTGTTTCATAAGGAAGCTCAGTTGGCTGGTTTTTAGAGCTTATAAACTGAACAGTATCACACACAGTATTTGGAAAAGGATAATCTTAATTTACAGTAGTTCTGGAGAAGGATTGTTACAGTAGTAAAACACAGATTTTGGATAAAGATATAAATTCTCTATGCATCAATGTTCATTTCTTGGAGCGAGAATGATAATAAATAAAATTTATTTGTAGTAATAATTATCATTATTATCTACCTGAAAGCTAGCTGTGAGGCTAATTCATTAATATTTTGAAATTACTTCAGAATTCTCAACTAGAATTTGCCCTGAGAGTACTAAATATAATAATTTGCTCTGTATGCTTATTTCATTTTGCTTTGGAGAAAAACACACTTAATGTGTTTCTCTCTTTACATTTGTCTGCACAACACATTCTAAAATTCCAGATGTTGAGCTCTTCTAAAAGTTAACAGGCAAACTTGACATTACTGTATTTTTTTCTTATTTCTTCCTCTTTTGTCCTAGCATTTTATCCCCACATAGATATTATGATATCACCTGGGAGGTTGTTGCTGCTGGTACAAATACATAAGTTGAGACCCACGCTTGCTATTTATCTCCTTGCCTAAATTTGGAGTTGACAGTGCAACCACACATTGCTTGTCTGAAGTCAGAGCTCTCTTGATGTACCACTTCAAATGTATTGTGTGTAATCAGGCAGTTTATTTAAGTTACATATAGTTAGATGTGCTACCCCATATTAAATGCCTGATTATATTTGTAGGTATGTCAAATGGGTTTTTTTGTCTGGCAGTTTACCAAGTCCTCCATTTATTGGCAACTGTGTATCAGTTATTCACAATTGAAGATACCCAGACCCATTTCCTCTGGTTGTTATCTGTTGGATAGCTAGACTCTAATGGCTAAAATCTACGTCTAGCGACATAAAAGCCACAGGATATGACACTGGTATCTTGTGGTTCCAATCAGCCTCCTGGTATTATAGCATTACTTTTATTTAACTGTGTTTCTACTGAGTTCAGTGTGCTCCAGAAACGCTGGCTGTTTTACATGGCATCTCCACTGTATATTGTGATAATTGAAAACTCAGTACAGCCCAGAGGCGGCGGCACAACGGGACAGGAGTGGGCTGGGGCATAACTCAGAAGAATAAGGCGTGCAGGCAGCAGCAAGCAGGGCAAAGCCAGCCCCAGCACATCTCCACCTGCAGTCGAGCTGGGTCAGGCATCCGGCAGCTGAGGGTCCCGTGGCGTGCGGCAGCTCCGGGAGCAGCAAATGCCCAGTGCTGTGCCTGGGGGATGCGGAGCTCCGGGTGTCCCTCCATCTGCCATCATGGGCTGACATCTGGGAGCACAGACCGTAGGCAGAGTCCAAGGCTCACCTGGAAAATTACACGAACAGATCAAAACCAGATTTGATACACTTCACTGACAGCTCCTGTCCTGTGCACATGCCCAGCCCCTTGCAGGATGGTGGTTCCTGTTCCTAAAATGTCATCTAAGCATTAGCAGAGAATAGGCCAGATACTTTTGTAGTGGTTCAGAAAAGTAACATATATCAGTAAATGTCACAGGCTATATGAATGCTCATAATTAGAACTAAAAAAAATTTACTTAAATAAAATGACTGAAGTAGGGCACAGCATTTCTTCCTATTAGCCTATGTAGAAAGAAAAAATGCCTGGAGTGTAAAAAGGAGACAAGAAGAAATAATGAAAAAAACAAGTTGTGGCATGAAGAATACAAATATTTCTTGCCTGTCCTCTTGGCTCTATCTGTGAAGATTTTGTCAAAAAACCTCAGCCAAAACTATTCAGCAAGTGATTTCTCGGCCTGGCTGATGGCAGGTCCAGTTGTCTCAGGGGGTAGCCTTGCAGGCAGGAGGTTTCCCAAGAAGCAGACAAGTAGGTTTCTGCAGTGGGAGTCACGAGCTTTTCATGTGAGCAGCACACCTGCACTGATGGGATGGTTTGACAGAGTTAGATGTGGCCCTACCTTGTAGAAGCACCCCCAGAAGTTGCTGTTGTTAGATTGTCCCCATAGACTGAAGATCTACAGCCTTCCATGGGTCATTTGGCATGGTGAGGAAGGAAGATGGGCTAGTCCACAAAACTTAGGCTGTACAGCTGTAACATTGAGATAGGTTGAAACATTCCAGCCATTGGGACTCTCCCATAGAAGTATGTTTGTATAACAGATTAAACCACACAGTATACTTTTATAAAACTACCCAGTATGTCTTTACAAACAGATGTAAAACCACCCAGAGAAGCAGGTCACACCAGTTCCTGCCCTCTCTGTTTCTCTGGCCTTGCTCTCCACTCTGCCTGAATTCAGCAGTGTCAGTAGTTCTGCTCCCTGGCATCCTGCCTAAAGCCAGGGACAGCCCCTGCTGAGACCCCACAAGCCACCCCACACCATGCCACAGGGCTTCACCCCCCCTCAGGCTCTCTACCACCTCTTATCCTCAAGCTCTGCTCCCCAAATGCCAGTGCCTCTGAGGCACAGGTCCAGTGGGTAGGAGTGGGAATCTGGGTGTTTGTTTATGTTTTTATTTCCAAACTTTCTGCTAGAAGCGCACCCTTTTAGGGCGCTGTTAAGGTGCTTTGCATTAGGGGTGTAATAATGTATATTTCCTGTTCATGGCATAGTGTTAATTAATCATTATTTCCAAAGTTCTGTTAAATTCTCAGACAGTGGCATCTTTTACTTTCATCTGACTTTTCTCTTACCTTACTTCTTCTGTTGAGTATCAGGAGTCATCAGTGGTGAACTGATTATAGGAAACTAATTTACATCATCAGTTCAGTAGTAGGACATACTTCTTAAATCATCTAAGATAAATACTTTTAATTAAGCAAAACGTCCTACTCAATTCACTGCGGACAGTCCCATCATAATGGATATTACTTCTGCATGCTAAATCTTAATCTTCATCAATACTGAATGCACAACACAAAACCATTATAAAAAATGTAGGCTTACTGTAATATTGCCATTTTAAAGCTGCCAGCTTTTATATTCATTATTATGATGACAACAAACCCCTGGCTAACAAATCTTACTACAAATCAGAATTTTTATGCAGTATATGTATGATATCAAATCTGTGCTAGCCTATTATTTGCAGTTTTTATTAAAAAAGTTAAATTGAGATTATTATAAACTCACGTCACATTCCTTAATAAAAAAAAAAAAATTAAAGTTAAAATCTAATGAGATTTCCTGGAAGCATTTTAAAAGCCTGCAAGAGCAGTAAAGTCAGCAGGCACCACACAGTGAAAGGAAGTATTTACTGATCAGAAGATGAATGCCTCTTCACCCAGAGTTTAACAGTTTTACATTATATGGATTTTTGAGAGGGAGAGAGAGAGAAGGAGAAACAAAGGAAAACTCCAAACCAATGCTTTCCTAATCTAAGACATCATATTGCTTCCTGATCAAAGCTTGCAAATTCTGGTGCAAACTGACTTCTTGCTCCTGTGACCAAAATCTCCTCTCTTCCCTCTGCCTCCCTCCATCTGTTCAGGCTTGGATTTGGAAGTCCCTGCCTCAGAGGAAGAAACCCTGATCCCTATTGCTTCGGTTGTGGTGTTGAAACCCATTAATATTTCTCTGGCAGGTACCCTGACCCTGGTGCCCTTGAACATGCTTAAAAAACATAGGGTATCCCTGAGCCTTTGTCCCTGAGAGGATTAACAGGGTTGCCCTGGAGCCAGCCTGGAGGTGTTTTAATAGGTAATATGGGTGGGCTTCACAGCTGACTTCAAGCTTTGCCTCAGGCTGCCTCTGCTCAGCAGCACAGATGCAGCCATTGAAATTAGGGGGTGAAGCATGGCTGTGTGCACGGGTTAGAGTGTGAATCCTCAGAATCTGGTGGAGGGTATCTCCAAATACCTCCTCCTCCAAACAGGGCAGGCAACTCAGTAGAGGGTAGAGAGACTTGTACTTCTTCTGCCACTCACTTCTTCTCTGACCTTCAGTCAGTTACTTAAGCTGTGTCTTCTCTCTCTTCTTCTATCCTCTCTGGTCTCTCTTATGGCTCTTTAGTTTATAAATTGTCTGAAGAAGGGGCTGTAGCACTCTGTGTGGTTTTGCTGAACTCAGCACAAGTAGGTCCCAGACTCAGCTGGGTCCTGTGGTTATATCACGGTAAAAGTAAATAAATAGATAATAGTGGTAACAATAGTTTGGGTTTTCTTTGTATGAACAATAGGTTCCTAATGGAGAAGAAGCCTCTTCTCTGAGTGTTTTTTATGTGCAAGTGAAGGTCTCTCTTTCCTCACTCAGCTGGAGAAGATACTGCCTTTGTAAATCAGACAAAACTTATCATGTAAAATGGAACACATCTTTGATTATACCGAATGCTCTCCTGTCTGTAATTTACTCTTGCTGCTGCAAAGGACACAACATGATTAAGCTAAGAAATGACAGACTGAACATTATGTGTCAAGATGGGAAAAGATTTTTCCTATTTAAATAGGAGGCAATCATCAAAAAACAGTGAAAATACACAAGAAAATGTTTTAACATACAATAAACAAGCCACCCTGCTGTTGCCTTATATTGTATTGTTGCTCTCCTTGCTCAGATTGCTGCAGATATTTCTCCTGTAGCCTACATTGTTCTTTATTTTTAAAAAACTACCAACTGTCTTGATTTTTCAATGATGTATCTTTCCTCCATAAGTACATATCCATTGTTACCTGCTCAGCCTGCCAACTCTCCTGTGTTTCCCTGTGTGAGTCCAGATTCTCCCAGTGGCATTTCTCAAATAGTAGATCTGTACAGTGTATTTTCCCAGAGCTGTTAAAAACATTGCTACTTTACTTAATAACAATATTTAGCAGTACCAGCTATCACTCATTATTTGGTATACACCAGGTGTTCTGCACGGGGGACAGGGTTTATTATCATGGCTTTACAGACTAGGAAAACAGGGTGGTACCAATTTCCCCAAAACATGCTGCAGAACATGCAAACATGAGAAGGACCAACATACCTTCAGCTCACATTTTATTCTGGGCGTTACTGCTTTTGTTTCCTCTAATATTGCCATTTGCACTGTGCCCTCCCAACAGCATTTCAGAGAATTATTACAGGAGAGCCAAGTGCTTTTGCAATAGCAGACTCAGGGTACTACAGACAACAATACAAGTAACTTTCCTGATTTTGGGGTGTGACTTTGCCATGTATGATATTTAGTAACTTCTGTCTTGTCTCTGATGATTTCTGGGTCTGGTACCAATAAGATGATACATTCCTATCCAAATTAGCATATGATGATATCTTGTGCTAGTACTCCAATAATAAGGTCTGTTTGCTGTTTCCATATAGATGTAGCTTTGACAGGAAGAACAATTCTATAATAAGCCCAGGATGAAAAGCCCATCAATTGAATTGGTACCACATTACCATGGCAACAATATAATGCTAATGAAATTGTGTCTGTTGAACCTGGTTTATGGAACTCTACAAAACTGGCTTCATAAGAGGAGAAATCTTGTTGATTAGTAAATGTTTCAAAGCATGATGAAAACCTTAGAACCACATGTGCTATCACTTATTAACCATGTTATTCTCATTTAATACATTGCTCTTTGTAAGAGCAATACTGCTCTCAAGAAATAAAATTATATGGCAAAATCTGTGTTTCTCCAGAATTCAACATGCACCACAGGTAGACTCAATCACCTCTGTGCTGTGGTTTCACTGGGTCAGTTTGCATAGATGCATATTGAGTCATGCAGTTTTTCCTGCGTATTTAATCTCTCTCGGACTCTATAAAATACACTGCTACTGTAGCTGTAATAGATGCCTTTCTGTAAGAAAAATGCAGCTTACTTTATATCAAATTATTCCACGAAAGCATCCTTTTAGATTAAACCCTACACAAAGAAGGTGCAGTAGCAGAAACACAATCATGGCTTTTGCCCTCCTTCCTTCCTTCCCCTTTGGCAGTTTACTGCCATATAGATGTGGCAGTACTGAGGCAGGGAGCCACCATCCCAGAGGGATGGGTCTCATTCTTCAGGACAGCAGTCCTTGCTGAAGGCAAGGTTTGATATTGTGCCTGCTTTTAAACAAAAAAATGCTGAGCACTCAGATTTCCTGGCCAGTTGTGTCTCTGGACAACCAAAAGGCTTCTGGGGAGTTGCCTCACCTGTAAGCGTCTGGGGCTTCAGTGTTGAGGTTTTTACAGCAGGATTTCCATTTTAGCATATAGGTAATATTCCTCATTGTTTTCACCTTGGAAATAAAAAGTGTAGCTTATCCTATAGAGTCCATCTCCTAATTTGCCAGAACAGAACAGCAGGCAAGCAATGAGCTCAGTGAGGCAAGGGGGCTACGAATGTGTGTCTACGAGTTTTTCTGCTTTTAGTAGGCTAGTAATACTCTCAAATAGTCACCACTATAGTATTGTCTGGGTATTTAGCAAAGACAATAGGAGAGAACACTGCTCATTTTAGCAAATTCTTGATCTACATGGCACAGAAGTCAGCAGAAATCTTCATAACGTTAGATTTAATGGGCTTTAGATCAGGGCTTTAAAGGGCTGTTTCTGAAAGCTCCATGATTGATCCTATTAGGAAAAGGAAGCCCTGTCTAACATTCTGTTATGCCCATGGTTTGAGGGAAAGCAACACACCGAATTTCTGAGTTGATAGAAATATAATGTAATGTAATTTCGCTTAATATATATTTTGCACTGGATGACAGTTTTATTAAGCAGAACTAATAATCATCATTATTCAGTGTAATAACCATCTCATTAGAAATGGTCTAATTTTCTGTAATTTTAATTTACCTCTCAGACTAAGCTATTCTAAAATTACTGAGGTGCCTACAGTTCAGTTTTGTAAGACTTAAGCAGAAACATAAGTCTTCAGAAAGCAACTGCTGAGTGAGTGCTGCTAAAATAGTGACATGCCAGAGCTTTGTGAGAGAAAAGTACAGAAAATTCAGGTTAGGAAATTACTGTATCACTTTTTATTTTCTTACTGTCTTTGAAGTAACACGTTTTTCACCCATTTTGCACAAACAATGATAAATTGTATGGTTTCCTTCAATCCTTGCATGCACTACCCTTTAATAAAGGACTGGCTAAGGATCGCACCAGAGAGTGCTGGTGAGGAGGAGCAGACAAGCAGAAATATTCCTCGGAGAGACTGGGAAGGAGATGAAGACACCGCTCAAGTTTCATTATCCTCCAATGAATATAGGATGTAAACTGTGACATCCAGGCAGATTACATATGTCAGGCAAGCAGATGTGAACAGAAAAATGTAGATGCTAAAACTCACCTAATAGGCTTACTCTCTGGCTTATTCTCCATGACCAAGGCAATATTATGTTTTTTTACTTATGTTAACTGTAGTTAACATACAGGATATAAGAAATATGCATTCATAAGTGAATCTGGGAACATTCCCAGGTGTGCTGGAGTTAATGCTCTTTGATATACCTTGGAGCATCCAAAAAGCACTTTGGGCGTCATATACTTCTACAGACATCATAAACAGCACTATGGCATATACATACATAGCTTTAGCTCCAAAATTTCAAAGGCCACTTTTTTTTTCTCTAAAAATGTGCTCAAAATTTTTTATATTCAAACAGCACTTGTGCATGCAAACTGCTATAGCAGCTTGTGTGTTTTTTGCCAGTTCTGAAAACAGATTTGATCAAAAGAATTTTGTTGCAACCACAGAGAGAAGTAACCTCATATGAACAAGGAAGCATTTTGCAGGTTATAGAATAAAAAAGGCAAATTGTCTAAAGGTTTTGTTTATCATCAGGTATTATTCTATGTAGTTCTGAGTAATAAAAAAATAACTTCTTTGGTTTGTTGGGGGTTTTTTTTAATGTTCCCCTAAAATAACACAGAAAAGACAGTCTCTCCTGTGGAAGCAGTCTGCTTCTGAAATCTCTTCCCTTTGAAACTCAGAGACTTTTCCGGGTGTAATATTATTCGCTCAGCTACAAGAACACAGAGTACAGCAGTGAAAAGCACTGCACTATTATCCCAAGATAATTTGATAGTCTGTAAATGTATTTTCCTGCCTGTGGTTCCAGGCATTATGCTCTCATTTGAGGTAATGATTTGCAGTTATTTATACCATTCAAGTTAGCCCATATTGGTTTCACCCTGAACATTTACCTGCATAGTAAAAACTTGGCTTATTTGTAAATTGTACAAGCTAGACTAGATGGTTGATTTACAAGCCAGATTAGATCAGCAGTGCAATGGGATGCCTAGCGTAGACAGCCAGCTTCTGGAGGAAGCAGTGTGGTGACTCAGTGGTGGCTGTCTCCTGCCTACGTCAATGTTATCACAACCATACATCAGCATGAGTCTGCTGGCCATGTTGCATTTTAAATCTGACATAAAACTATAGCTCTGATCTGATGTGGCCAGTAAATATAGCATGGCACTTTCCAGAAGTACTTACCCCGCTTTTCTCTTTTGGCCTCTGTGTGGGATGTGAAAACTCACCTTAAATTCCTCTTGCATTTCCATTACCCCAAAAACTGGAAACTGAGTGTTCCAGTGCTAACTGGGTAGTTGCTTCACCTCCAGTGCACCCACACTTCAGGGTGATGCCAGTTATTTGTAGAATTTGTAGCACTAGTTAATGTGGACACAAGGCTTTGATTTTGGATAGGCTCAGAGTTCACCTCCCTTACTCTCATTTGGGAGTCTATGTTGTAAGCAGATTTACATGAGGTGACAGTAATTTCTTCCTGACTCTTAAGTGGTCAGCAATGGATGGAGCATCCAGTGGTGCTGGCAAGAAGAAAGTCTCATTAGAGAGTAGACTGCTTTCTCTGTCCCTGGTGATATTCCTCTGGGAGCCTGGGATGAATTCAGAGAAGCCATGTACTGGTGACATCCATTGAGCTGCCTGCTCTCTGTGGGTGGGAAAATGCTCAGCACCACAAAAGATAGAAAATATGATTTACACTCTCTCATTCCACTGTCATACATTCCTGTGTATCTCCTCAGTTCATATTTGATATTGGAAAAAATATTAATGTGAGGGGAAAGATTTGCAGAAGGGTGCAGTGTCCTGGCTTGGGGTGGTCAGCAGCCAGGACAGGAGTTCCCACCTCTACCTTGCTGCTCCCCATTTCCTCAGCTAGAGTGAACCCCCGTATGTGGGCAAGAGGCCTGGAGATGCCTCAGGGAGGCAGGTGTGAAAGCCACAGTTCAAATAAAGCAATGGGGGACAGTAAATGGTCAGAAATTATTGGGTTACTGGTTTCTCCTCCCTTACCTGTTCATGGTATCTTGGATACTGTTGAGACAATTCAGCCAGTTTCTTTAAAATAAAATATGAACGTTTGAAATACTACTTCTGTTATGCTGAAAACCTTCAAAGTCCTTTATTTTGAGAGAAAAATTAATACTCCAGGACACAGTGTCATTTAAGAACAGCAACACTTTAAAAAGTGCAAGAATTCCAGTTTACCATCCTGATGTCAGTTTATGGTAATATTTATGACATTAATATAATGGATTATGACCTTTCTTGGCTTGTCTGACTGACAGGTATTCATATATAACACAGTACTTATCACCTTGGTCCTTCCATAATGATAATCCCTTCAATTTTCTGAGCTGTGTCAGCAAAACATGTACTCATAAGTGTTGATCTCATCTCTGGGAGTGTAGTACCAGGAGCTCCTTTTGAGCTTTATGTCACCTAAAATCTAGAGTGAAATTGAAGACCAGTTGCAGAAAAATACCCTGTCTCTATCACACAGTCTGCATAATGGTAGCCCTTATGATTTTAAATGATTTACTGAGTCTTGTCAAAATGATGTACCTTTCTGCGTGGAAGTTATTGAAGTTCAGAAATGCCATTATTCTGTACGACTGGAAAGATCATGAGGAAATACACAATAGATGGTGTGCTACAGTTACTTACCTTGACCTCCCTTTTTTTTTTGCTCTTTTATCTCAGGATAGACAAGAATGAAACATATTTTCTTCAATATTTAGGCTGAAAATTCGCTGTGCAATTTTTACCTGCTTTCCTTGTGCCCATTTTACTAAACAAGGTGTTGAAATACTCTTTTTATATTAGCAGTTTCATTTGCATCATATTTAAAAGGAAAAAGAGCAAAGTGAGAATTTTGCATGTTTCAAAAAATTGACCACCTAACTAATGATGTTTGGGTGGATAAGGGGAGGTTCAAAAGACCAGGATAAGACACCAAGGTCTGTCACAGTCCTGCTCATTACCCTACCATCCTCTGAGCAAGGGAGCTGGGTTGGGGCCGTTGCTGTGACATGCGAATGATGTTCACGTGGCAAGGTTGGGTCTGCTACAACAAGCCGATTATTCAACTCATAAATGAACCTGGGAATTACACTAAATACCTCACACCAGCAAAGTAGGACCAGCTTTCCTCGAGTGGAGATGGCACCTGCGTGTCTCTGAACACAGCAAGCCGTGGGTATACAGCCACAGCAGCACGCTGGTCTTTACAGAGTGCACGATGTTCTCATGCATGTAAGGATCCTTCGAGCAATAAATATTGAAAAGAAACATCATGTCTTTAAGCCAGCTGAACAATTCCTTATGCCTTAGAGCCACATGGAGATAGGACATCCCCATTCAAAACAGGGCTCCATTTTCACAGACAGACAGGCCTGCCTCTCCAGGGAGTGCTGAGGCTCTCCAGCCCTTGAGTTTCCCTGGGGCTACTCACCACTGTCATTCTGGCATAAACATCCAAACTATGGGAATTTCAAGTTCAAGCAAGAACAAGCCTATAGCACAGCAAAGCAGCCCTGGAACGTATCTGTGACTACATCTATATTGATGCCTCTGTCTTCTCCCCATTTTTTTGTCAAGAGCATGACATCCTGCTAACTTTTTTTGTTGTTTTATTGTGGTTTTTTTTGTTTTAATTAAACTAACAATGTGACATGGTAGCTGCGTGCAAGACAGAGGTAATGCTGTTCTGTGGACAGAACAGAGGTGCTCTGGTGCTCAGTGCTCACCTCCTGAGAGCCTTCAACACTGAATCAAAACGGTTCATCAGTGACAGATCCTGGGGCTGGTGTTTCAGGCTGGGTGCTGATGAGCAGCCATTTCCATCTCTGGCCCTGGTGATTAGTTATACTCAGCTGAGAGACACGTAGTTGGACATTTGTCACTGTTTCTGTGAAAAATGTGGGCATGTTTTCTTGGGCTATCAAATGAGACATATGGGAGCTGGATTCCATCTTTCATTAGATCTTGGGAATTGTGTCCTCCTGAGGCAATTAATTAGCATGATGTTCTTGGCGGCTAATGTTTGCTTTCAGATTTCAGTGGCAATAGAGTTGGAAAAACAGATTTTGTGAGGATGGTTTAATGGTTTAGGGCATTAGCCAAGGCCTACACACAGCTTTCTTCAACCCCTCAGCTTTTACAGAGTTCTCTTATGTATGCAGAGAAGACTTGTGGTTTCTGTCCGTGCCTTATCTCCCTCTTTGAAAAATAAATATAATTGCATTTTCCAGTTTCACAGGACAGGTGTAGAACAGATTTCACCTCAACAGAGGCCAGGCAGCATTGCTGCAGTCCTCTGCCACCCTAGCTCCATGATGGAGAAGCTATTCTGCAAAGGTTTTCTTTTAATTCTTCTTCAGTTTAAGACAAAAACATTTACATTAGAAAATTGTCAAATAAATACATTGCTATTTGTTTACTTTCAGTGTGCCCACTGCAGATATCTGCGTGCTATACATACCTTTATCTTTGGAAAGGACATCTGTGGAAAAAGGCATATTGCCCATTTAGTGAGCTATTTGATGTTGGCTCATATATAAAGTATAGCCCCTCCGCTGGTGTCTTTCAAGATAATTTCCAAACTATATTCTTCCTAAATCAATGTGATTTACAGCAAAACCATGCACTTGTACCCTGTGAATACAATATATTATCTAGATTGCTTGTTTTGCTTTTATTACCTCAATGGTATTCATAATGTTATATAATTATAACAATTCATGGCTGAAGAACAGTGTTAGTTATAGGTACGAAAAAATGTCATGCCTCTTTCGAAGGGGGATGCAAGCAAAATACAAAATATCTAGCCAGTACAGTTATACAGTAAATAACACATCCTCCATGGGGAAGAACACATGCTTTTCTTTAGTATCCATAAAACAATAACACAGGGATGAATTTTTAAGCGGAATAGAGGAGGAATGTATTTCAGTGCACCAAAATGCTAGTGTGATTTTATAATGCATTTTTTAGCACTATTGCAAATAAGTAGTTATGTGTGTAGGAGTTCGCTTAAGTGGCCATTATTGTATCTGATTTGAACTCACAAAAGGCATATTACAAAGCTGTTTGAAACAGATGTGGTCTTACCCTATTTAAAATAAAATTAGTCCGTGGTGTTAATTTAGGTAACCTTTGCAGTCACTAATATACAATCACATATACAATCATGTGCTTTTTAAGCATCTATAAAAGACATTAGGAAGAAGAAAATAATGAAGATAAGAAGAATATACCACTAAACAGTATCTGCATGTTTCATACTCCTTCCAGATAACTCATTCACATTTAAATGGAATGAGGAAAGAAAAGCATTAAATGTAGTATTGTCTATTTTCACTTGATGCAGCTGTCTTCTAACTCAAACACTCTGGAATTGAACTCTACCAGACAAACTTTCGTTAATTAAAAACAACAAAAATACAAGCAGGACAGCTGAATAACTGAAGGTGAATTTATCCTGTATATCCAAGGTATTCATGGCATGCTTTTTTATACTTTTTGCTACTACCCTTATGTTATCCTAACTCAGGGCTTCTTCAGAATCCCTTATTCCTCCCATCAGCTCAGGCATACTGATCTATTTCCACACACCCAGCATTCAACCTCCAACGCTCTGACTTTCAAACCGTGTCTTTTGCAGATCACCAGGAAGGAATTTGCAGAACACTGGCTGAAAAACGCTTATTGTGCAACTAATAAGGAAGGTTGAAATACCATTAAAATTCTGACTCGTGCTGTAAAATGCCATGAAATTCGGAATTACAGCTCTGCCTTGCATCCCTGGTTGCACAATTGCACTCGCGTACTGCCGACGGTGCAGTATGATCACAGGCTGCCTGCAGCAGCTGAAGCACACAGGCACTTTGGACCGCTACAGCTTTTTGCTCAGGCTCCTGATGGCTTTTTTGGGAGCCTGATCACCATTAGGGCTACAGAGGAAAGCACCAAGTTAAAAGTTTAAGCTCTGAATTACTCTGATGGTTTTACTTCAGCCCCTCACATATCGCTGTCCTTCAAGTCACAGCACCTCTCTCCACGTCCAACTATTACATTTTGGACTAAGAGTTACACTTGCCTTTAAATTACCACTAGATGACAAGAGGAAAAGCAAAACGCTTAAAAAGTAAAAATTTTATCACTGTCTTTTAAAAACTGGGGAGAAACCATACCTTGTATTTCATACTTTTCTTCTGAATCACTGATTTGGAAGGATTTAGTGACAAGATATCACATCTATTTGATAGGACCAAGAATTTTCACTTGATGTGTGCTGGTGGGATGGAATCTTAAGATCTGCTGTATGGATGGGAGTATAAGTATGAAAATTAACATCCAAAGAAGCGGCATAAGAAAAATCCTTAAGATTAAAAATTGAAGAACATCGATCTCCATTATTGACTGACAGTTGGAAACCTTTCCTTTTACAGGAGAGCTGCTTCCGAATTTGTACACAAAAATGTTCATAACCATTGGCTCTTTTCTGTGCAGATTTTAAAAATGTAATTAAATATTGTTTGCATGTTGATTATGGGGCTAAATTAAGCAATACCAGCATAAGAAAAAAAAAAAAAAAAAGGCTATATATTATAGTGGAATTGCTTACAGAGTTACAGCCAGCCTGAAGGGAGCTGCTTTTATGGTGGATGTCCATGCATGATATAAACCTTCTTTTAGATGATGGTGTTTAGTAATTTTCATAGCAGGTGGGTGTTACATTTTTAATTGATTTCTACCAACAAAGTTTGTAACCTTCACTGATATGTGTCCATTTCACAAGATTATATTGACTTTTGACATATCTTGTTAGATGTTATGATGAGACAGATTTTTTTTTTTGCACTATTGATGTCTATTGATATTACATTAGTTCATCAAGGTTACAAATCACATTGCACTACATTTCACATTTGCTGTATCATGACAAGAGGTTTATAATATTCACTCTGGGACATATAAAGTGCCTGCTACCCATCCCTCGGATAAATAATTTAAGAAATTGTTGGAAAATCATACCTGATTAGTAGGATCTGCACTCAACAAGTGCCCTTTGATTTAAATTGTATTTGTATTTTGATAGGTATTGATTTTAGGAGTAGGAGAGATGAATAATACATTCTGCATTTCTCACTGTGCATAGCAATAATCTGACAGAAATAATGGAGGAACAATCCTGCAATGGAAGCGGCCCCTTTGGGGACCTGCATGCCTTCCCCAGGAAGCCCATGGGGCAGTTAATGGCACTCCTATGTGGAATGGCCTGATCCTTTTTTCTCCCATTGATTTGCTGTATCATCCTGTACACATCACTCAGCCTCCTAAAGTCTCTCCTTTTCCATCAGTAAAATGGGAACAGAGTGGTTCCTCATCAGTCCACAGATGGTCACAAGACATATGGAGAAAAGCAATAGATACATCCAAGTGAGTATTATACGAGTCCCAACTGGCACTACCACATGGAGCATGGGGTAAAGAAGGAGCCAGCAAGTGAGTCTTCCTGTGAGCACAGGAGAGTCTCATTACAGCAGAACCCGTGGTGAAACCACGCACCTCTGAGAGCAGTGCGGCAGAGGTGGGCAGCACGCAGCACACTCCGACACCAGAGGGCTGCTCTCTGTCCCTGCTGTCAGCAACAATGTTCTGGTTATTTTGGCTACTCACTTTCCTGGATGAATTGATACAAAATTAATTTTGTTTTCTTTGGATGCTAATCCCTTAGAGTGAGAAGAGGGAACAAGATGAAAGTTGTACCATGCAAATAACCCAGGTAACACATGCAAGCTGGTATCTTCCTGAGGCAATAGCTGCTCAGCATGCAGGTCGGCAAGCCTGCTTGCATGAGTGGCCAGGGGTGAGAAACAGAAACAGACAAAAAACACCTCTGAGATTGAAAACAAATCAGAATATATCAGTATTTACAAACACTGATTTCCAGCACCCCAGCAGCTATAACAAATGCAGACTCTATGAGATAACCATAATTATAGAAAAGCTTTTTTTTTATTTTTTTTCACCCAGTACGCCAGCTCTGATTAGAAAGGAAAACCATAGGCTCAACTATGGCAATAAACTATGGCATCAAAGCAAGCATCAAAGTGGCCCCTTGGCTGCTGGCAAACAGTACAGTCATAAGAAAAGAGACAATGAAAATATAATACGTAGAAATAGCACTTTTCCCCCCCATAACATAAACACCATAGACATTCTTTTAATACAAAGAGAAGCAGGATCCAACGTGACAGCCTTACATTTGCCAAGTATCATGGGAGGACTGTAAAATACATCCTCCCCAAACCAAGCCAAAGGAGCAGAACGAGCCAAGATGTTCTCATAAGAACAAAGAAATCCCTTTTTTTAGGTCTCAGACAGCTAGCAGGCTTAAATTTGTGGGTTTTCTTTTCACTGTGGTTTGGTTGGTTGGTTGATTTTTTTTCATTTATTTTCATCATCATCACCTCTGCCTCATGCTATCTTCAGCAATATGTGCCAAAATATCTACTAGTGCCTGTGTAAGTAGGTGCAGTCCACTGCACCAAAACCACTTTATGGTCTTCAAATAATGGAAATTCTATTTAAGACATTTTAGTTGAATATTTAACTAAAAAAACATCAAAGTAGACAACTGAGAGCCAGGACTGCACAACTCTGAAGTAGAGGGATTGCTGTCACATGGAAGAGCATATGATTTGTATGCATTTGAATCCTCAGCCTGTCACGGGGGGAGATTTCAATAATGTGTAGTGGGTTTCTTTGTGATGCTTTTCCTTTTCTCCTCTTTGTTTAGTTAATATTTTACATTCTTTTAGAAGAATTATCTGCACATGAGGGCCTATATTCATATAATCATGACTGACATGCAACTTCTCTGTCTTGCCCTTCTACTTTCAGGTAGCTTTAGAGAAATTGAGGCCTGGCAACCCAAAACTGAGGTCCATGGGAGCACACAGCTGAAAGCATAAGAATGGGGCTGCTTGAATGTATTTTTTCTCTTTTCTCATTAGGATTTTCTCTGAAGGATTTTTGTGGGAGCCTTAGCCAGTAAGCACCCATCACTTCTAGGTTCCCAAGCAGCCATGGCACAGGGAGAACACATATCAGATTGACACAGTCTGTCTTGTTATGCCTGCTGTACCCTCCCAGATGCAGTAATTCACCCTATTCTGAATCTTTTATAAGAGACAAGCAATATTAGTTATCGTGAAGTATTTTTTAAAGAAGATGAATATTGGAGAAGTTCTTACTTATTTCATAAATTATTCTGCTTTCCATGTAAAATGCAAAGTTTCATTCTGAGGCAGATCCCTCCTGAGTAACCCCTCCAGTAAAGTCTGATTCCAGGTGAAACCAACATGGGAACCGTATTTGCTTTTATGAATGCTAAAATGGTCCATGAATCTCAAATAGTATTGCACCCTCTGTTTTATAAATATTTTATATGTTTTTCTTCAATAAATACATATATTTTGCTTTTTGAATCTCAGGGCCCCTTTTGAGCTGCATGGCTCTTAGAATCTTAATAGAGAAGTAGCAACGTGAAACCGAAAATAAATGCCTTCAACAAACAGGCAAAGTCTATATTTCACCAAGAAAAGTGTGGCTTAAAATAAAACAGACTCCTGCAACATCTAGATCCTGCATATTTTCTGCAGAGCATGCCACAGCTATTGACATGCTGTTGGTTTTATATGTCCCAGAATGCATGAATTATTACTGTCATTTGACATTTTATATTCGTAGTTCCATAGCCTATAGCAACACTTACCATCAGCTGTGGTAGACTATACCAGACCTCTGGCAATACCTCTTATTGATCAAGCACTGCTCAATGTTTGCCTGCTCAGTAATGCAAAGACAACCTAATTCTCTAAGACAGAAAACCCACAAGTTACTGCATTTGGGATTTCTAGTCCTTTCAAGAGACTTGAGACAAGAAACACAGATTACAGATACCTTCTCCCCCACTGGGAGGCAAGCTTGTCTTACAAGCTTCAGGTACTACAAAAGAAAGTGCATTGCACAGTAATACTAACGAGAAAAGCTGCATGGATGCTAATGAATAGTGCTAATATGAAAACTGGGTATGAAAGGGACCTCAGGAATGAAAGAAATATTCTGCTGAGAGTCAGTGGACTTGCAGTACCAGGCTTATTAACTTCTTAAAAAAGGACCTAGTCAAAGTAAGTAATACAGAGACACCAGCAGCAGAAAAACTATGGTCAAAGGTGTTTGTGGTTATGATTTAAAGGAAGAAAAATTTGCTGCAAGCATACTTAAGTGAAATTCCCTGAAGACAGCAAGAGCATGATTTCATGTAAAAAATAAAACAGAAATTGCAAATCACAGGGCAGCAGAGGATACCACAACTATCCGTGACCAGACCCAGTACAGCAGTGACTGTTTTCTGGACTTACCTAACACACACACCAACACCCTCTCAAGTCAAAGGAAAGCTGATCTACCCTTAACATGGGACAGGTCTTGTCAGCCACTGCAGCTCACCGCATCAGCATCAGCCCCTGCCTTGAGGAGCTTGTTTATCTCCTGCTCCCTTCTCCCAGTCCACACTCTTCCTCTCCCTTCTGTGCTACCTCCTCTGACCTCTCTCTCCTCCTTCCAGGGAGCAGCCATGGCCCCAGCATAGCTCCCCAGGAAAGCCCTCTGTATGGAGCAGGTGAACAGGCAACAGGGGCACAAGGGACAGCAGGAAAGAACCCTGCAGGCCGTAGCATTAGCACAGAAACTTTGACCCTTTACAGGGCATGCAGCTTATTTCACTTTTTTTGTTTTTTAATCTCCAGGTGATAGATGCAAATAATACCAGTTGTCAATGAAGCTCATTAGCAGCATTTTATTCTCTCCCAGTGCTTGTGACACCCCCCATGTGGGGTGAGGACCTTCCCCTGTTGTAGGGGCCCATTGGACCAAACTCTCAATGCAGATTTTGGATTTGAGCCCTGCAGATTGTGGCTTTGCTCCTTACTTTGGCTGCTGAGACAGTGGCTGCAGCACCGTCCTGGCACGCTCTGCCGGTTTTCAGAAAAGGCCTTTTCCCACAGCTACTGCTTTTTTGCTCCACAGCTCTGAGTGCGAGAATAAGCCTGAACCACAGCAAAGGGTTTTCCCGCTTGCATTGCGCCTTTCTCTTCACTCTCTCTCATTGCCGGATCCTTCTGCTTCCCTAGCCTGTTCCACCAGTGTTACTGCCACCCAAGAAACCTCCAGCATCTTTGTTTCCTGACCCTTGGAAAGCATCATCAGGTCATGAACCATTTCTTCCAAACACTGGCTCTATCTGCTGCCTTAGCCCAATGATGGAGCTGCCTATATGGACCCAACTTGCTGCAACAAAAAGCTGCACTTCTTCAATTTATCCAGTGAGATTTTGTTATCACTTGAAATACAGCTCTACACTCGTAATGCCTTCAGAGCCACTTAACAGCACAGCTAGAGAGCATGATTCCAGTTGAGCTCAGCTGAACACAGAAGGTGACTTCTGGTGCTGGAGCACTTCATCACTGGGGTAAGGCAGGCTGGTAAGGCAGGCAGCATTTGACTAGCAAAACCTCTTTCTCTGACATCCTAAGAGGGCGGCATAGCTGCACGAGTTAAATCCTTGCCAGAAAACAAAAATGTTTTGTCAAAACATTATAGTGGTGATTTTGTTCCTGTCTTTTGAAGGGATGAGATTTAATCGACAGATCCATTCAGCTCCTCAGTCAGCTTGAGAGCTGGTTAATAACAAAGACCATTTGCATTCATGCAGTCCCACCAGCCTCTTTGCATGCATAATGCCTCTTTGGTTGACTTCTCCCAGGGAGAAAACCAGTTTCCTGCTTTGTCCCTGGAAATAATGGAAGGTGCAAACTCCAGGGTAAATGCAGCTCTTCTCTGCTTCAGGAGACTCAGCCCACCGGCCTCACATTCCTGTGGTCAAATCTGGCAGGGCAAACATCTGGAACATGAAAACAAACTCCCAGATTCAGGCACTCAGTCGTAACAGGGATAGGGAGGGTGTTTCTGCTGTGGTTCATCATCACTAGGGTGAGACATTCGTGCGGGTGTACGTACAGGCACACATAACAGTCATCCTAAACATTCAGTGAAGACAGCGCATCTTGTGCATCTGCGCAAAAAGATTACAGCTCCAGCTGAAATGGGAATTTTACAGCCCTCCAAATCCTTAATTTTGAATCTTTCAGTGTTTTTATGCAATTTGGAAAGAGCCTAATTTTGACTTATTGACATCAGCGTGCTTTACTGAGTGAGGACTGACTCCTACTACGGTTTCCTCTGAACCCTCATATGAAGAAACAGAATTATTCCATTTATGCAAACACTGGGTGCAGTGTTTTTAATAAAACAAAATGCCTTTAAATGAAATACTTCATATAATTTGATTTATTTGTAGTCCTGCTTCTAAAGATTAAAAACACCTACAGTCTTCCCATGATCAATAATCCAATTTTAAGGGGCTGTTACTTTAATTATAAACATATAAAAGCCATGCAAGCTACTAAACCTCTGTATACAGACACATTATAAAAGCCAAACTACTTTTTACCCAACAGGGAAAAAAAAAAAAAAAAAAAAGACAAATAGGTCTGAAATGTTGCTGACATAAATGTTTTGGACAGACTAGAAAAACCTCTGGGAATTTGGGACCATAATCAAGCCCCTTAGGAGATCATTCAGTAAACCACAGCCTGAAGGACCCTGTGGTGGGTCCCGGTGGTGCAGTGGGACGTTTGAAGGGTGCAAAAGGCAGCATACCTACTTTGGCCAGGGGCCATTCACCTGGCACTGTAAACAAGTTACAAAGTAAAAAACGGCTTCAGAGGTGTGCCACAAGCATTCACAGCTTCTGTGTGCAATGTGGTGTGCTGCAGCTGACAGAAGACAGAGAAGACACATTCCTCATCTGTCTGCAGCCAGATGGGCATTTTCCCTCTCTGTTTCCATCTCTTTCTGCCCACCCCCTTCATCCCTCATCCAAGTTCCGTAAGCTTCCTATTACTCCAGAGTTTAAATCAATTTGTGTTAAACTATTACTGTTGTAGATACTCTTTCTGTAGATGCTCTTCCTGCTGCTCAGTAGGAAGTAGACTTAGTGGTGCCACCCTAACTAATGAAGGTTTTTTTATAAACAGCTCAAATGCATTAAGAACCAGTAGCTTGATCCCACAGTCCTGTTCTCAAGCCTACAACCTCCAGCCCTGATCAATCATTGTGGTGTCCAACAAAGTGCTCTTGGCAGACCCAACACTGTCTCAGATGCATTTTTACATATATTAGTTGCATTAAATAAATTATTATCACTGCACCAAACTGCCTCCTGGCCTCATCACATGTTAAAATTTCAAGACCTGCTTGGCACTCACCCTGCATTGCTGACATCTATGAAAATGCCATCTACAGAGTCACCCAGAGCCAGACACTGCAGTCAGGCTCATGCAGCAGCTTGTAAGCACAACTGTATTTTTAACATCCCAGAAACAGTTACTGCGTCATCTCCCTTTATGGCTTTCCTGGAATATTCTTTATACTCTTTGGTTTGTACAAAGTGCTGCGTCTAGGACGATAACTCTGCCTGCATGGACTGGATGGGATATTCCTGCCCAGTGAGGAATGCATGGCTTTCCTCTTAATCATAACATATTGATTTTAAAATTGCTTTGATGACTAGGAAAGCAAAGCACAAATTGGAATCAGTGCATTTATCAGAGCTCCGCTCTTTGTGCGAGGGCACACAACGTTTCTGACTGCAGGAGGACAGGGGTACTGGTCTCTTCAAAACACGAGGTAAAGATTTACGCAGGATGTGTCTTAACTCTTGTCCTGCCCAGTTCCAGAATTCATTCTCAACAGGTTGGAAACACCAAGCCAAACTCAAATTTTATCTTAACCTGGCTTTTTATGAAGGCTGACTCTCATCAACAGCTCTGCTTTCACTATCAGTAGTAGGGCAAAACTGCTCTTTCACAAGGATGCTATTTAGTCCATGTTGAAGTTTATTAGGCTCTGGCTTTTTATAAGGCATCAGCAAGTAAATGCATGGAACATGTGTTTTCCTCATCCCCATCTGTAACTGTTAGAGGGTACAATGAGAGAACAGATAAGGATTATAAACACCTTACAAAAATAATCTCTGGGCTTTGATACGTATACATTGATTTCAGTCACCTGGTTATCAGCAAATCTTTATGTGAAAGCACTGAGTGTATATTTTATTTTTAACACTTAGCTCCTCTAAATCGCAATCACTGATGTTTTTTCTTTGTGACAGTAACAAGATACATTAGCTAGCTCTCCTCTTAAAAAAAAAAAAAAAAGGAGGACCTACAGCCCAGTGTGTGGCCGGACAGGACATTACCAAACCATGACAAAAAATGAAATAAACAGTAAACCTGCTGAGATTGAACCGGGAAGTGGTGCTAACTCATGTTCCTTGTAGACCTCGGGTCAGCTGAGTGTGGACGAACATCAGACAGAGCCTACGACCAGCAGCAGCTCATCAGGCCAGCCACGGGGCGGCCGTCAGGCACCGCAGAGCTCCTACCAAGGTAAGCATGGGGAAAACTCCCGGAGATGGCATTGGGGACGCAGGGGGAGCTTGGGTTTGCTTCCATAAAGCCACACACACCTACCAAATCACACTGAGCTCCTGACTAAGGAACACACTGAAAGATTAAGACTGAGAATTAATTATTGAGCTTACTCACGTATATTCAACCTTTCCTTTTGTTTTCATTTTTCAACTTTTTCATCTCTCTTGCTTTTCGTTCTCATGTCTTCCTTTGCTTCTCTTTTCTTTCCGTTTTTTTCTATTTCTTCCCTTCATCTGCTGTTTCGAATTATTCCCTTCTGTGTTTTTCCTCCTCTACCTTTTCCCTTTTTTCAAATGTACTGTCCCTCTCATCTGCTCCCTCCAGGAGAGGAGAAGTGGGCACTGCCGTAATTTAGTGCTGATTCCTTATCTAGGCTGGGCTAAGCAACAAAATTTAAAAAAAGGAAATGACACATATTTTGTTTGAAAAATGTCACAGGTCCTTTAGGACCCTGATTCAATCCCTCCAAAAAATAAATCAATTGCAATTTTTAATAGGCATCAGATCACAAATCAATGTACATCTCCTTGAATGCAGTAATGAGTCAGCTAGTTCTAGAAACTGTGGGATATAGGAAACATATTTTGCCAGTTATTCATGGGCAATTCTGCAAAATTCACCACAACCGCTATTTAGTGAGCTCTATCATATGGACTTTGCCATAGTTCAATCCCCTTGTTTTTACATACTTATTCCAACACTGAAAATAAAGACATCTATTTATTTAAGCACATCTTTCTGAAAATTTTTAAATGCAATAAGCTCTCAGTTTTCTGCCTTAAGTCACACAAAGGACAAGGCAGTAAGAGCTAACAAAAATTCTTAAAAAAAGGTTAGAGGTATTGTAGGACTGCTATCACATTTTTAATATGAGATGGTATTCTACACCTCAGATTTAATGCACACAGAATAGTTGCAAGTACAATGGCATCTTGATATCAACATTTAGAAGCATGAAATTACAAGTGTGCTGACAGTTTGTTATGTTCTTCCGTAAAGCACAGAAGCTGCTGCTCATTGTCCACCACATCCTTTGTGTCAAAAGCAGCCCAATACTAATAAATCTCAAATACACTTTTGAGATTCACAGCAAGAGCTGCAACACCCAGGTGGAATTTATAAACACGTCTTATAATTGTTTCTGTACCACGCTAGAGCACAGACACAGAAGGAAAGGTCTCTTCACCCTGTTACTGGGCATCATAAATGGATGTAGCTTCATTCCTCTGCCTGGGATGTCATCT